CTGCCATACAAAGAAGACGCTACCACGAGGTTTCGCCTAAATACTTCGGTCTTCGTTTGTCAACAAGCCCAGTACCACTTCGTCGACCTCATAGAGTCGTTGTGAAATGCTCTCACTTCCCAGAGTAGGTTATGGCAGCATCGTTGCTGTGCGTTGTTAATATGTAAAAATTTAATAAAACATTCATTTCTGTTGTTTTTGGAACATCACAACAAATCTCAATCGTCACCTGGTTACGAGGAAAATCACCGAGTTGAAAGGCCCAAATTGTCAAGGTAGAAATTGTGAACGTGAACAACAATTAGGTTAACTGGACCACATACGTTAAAACAAAATCACACAAAACAAGCTAGATTCTGCTCGCTAGCGTTCTTCCTAATGCAACATAAGGCTGTTTACTGGAATGCTTGCAGTCCTGTGATGGCTCGGCCAAGAACTAGCGCATGAATGTCGTGAGTGCCTGAAAACACGCATTTAACGCTCAAAGGCTACCAATAATAGGAGTTCATCGGATGACTGAGCAATGAGCAGGCTCGACTGCGACGGCCCTCTGTTGAAAACACAAGATGGTTTTTACGAGCGGATTTTTTGTATGCTGTAGGGCGCAAATACGACAAGAAAACTTCAGGCTAAGAAGGCCTTTGTTCAGGTTCAAAAAAAGTGGCGAATCACTTGGTTGAACTTACAGCTTCAACACTTTTCACTCGTTGGACCTTATGTCTCCTTTACGAAATCACTAACAAGGGAATGGTTTGAACTTCCCATGGAACTTTGAATGGAGACCTAGGTACATCGATAGAGCCTCGAATGCTGATTACGAATATGCAGATTAAAAGTGCTACGGGGACCTCCCAGACGAGATCTGGGCGGTCAAAGTTTGTGAAAACTCAGCCAAAGTGGTGGGTTTGCATCCCGTTGGCGCAGGAATTTTTGCTGACGACCGATCAGCAGCGCTTACGAGCCAAAACAAAACTTCCGCAAACTCTGACCACCCAAAACTCGTCTGGAAGGTCCCCGTAGCACTTTTAATTAGCATAGTCGTAAT